GTAGATTGTAATCTTAGATCATAAGATAGGGATACAAAGCTCATTATGCCTTGGAAGAAGGATCTTAACCGGCTAAAATATTAGGCAGTTTTAATTATAATCTTGATTTTACTTTTCTTAGTTAGCAACTGAAGCCTTAGAATTACTCTTGCTTATAAAAGGAGGCATCACTCTTCCGTTACTTAACTTAAATTGGCCAATCCACAATTTAGAGAGAACATACAGTTGAGAAGGACGAAAAACTCAAATGGTTATTATCGCACTTTAAATTTGTCGCTTCCTTGTAATTTAATTAATATCAAGATAATAACAGTTTTTTCAAAAAGCATACACCTTCATGTTATTCATTTCACATTTCAGAAATATCAAGAGTTTTATTGAATCCTTTTAAATGCAAACATAAGAACAATGTAAACAAACTCAAAAATTCAAAAATTGATAAAATAGTAAAAGTAAAAGTAAAAGACATTGGTTAAAATAAAACTTACTTATGATAAGGAAAGAGCAAAGTATACTGATTAAGAATATCTAATTAAAATCAAACAACAATACAGCATTCCTCGAAGTAATAAATAAGTGCTAAATTGAATGGCAATGTATATTAGATTTTAAGAGCCATTTAAAGTAATAATAGAGAACAGAGTAGTAAATTGGAAGAAAATATAATAAAGAGGTATTTATTAATTAAATAGAGGTCACTTTCAATCTATGAAATAACTAATAGATAAAATTTGCATCTGGAAATAGATTTTGGTATGAATTAGAGTTATTGAAACCCTAAATATCCTTCATCATATATCGCCATCAATTATATCAATATTCATGTATCGTTGCGATTGACCAAATTCATTACATGATGCCAAAATCAAATACTGATCTGAAAGTGAGTATTTTCTTTAAGTTTGAATGTATGAGCCATCTTTGAGGCTACAATCAATTACTTTTCGTTTTCTTTAAAGTTTCACAAGAAGAGATTAAAAATATTTAGACAAAACATATAAATTTAATAAATTATGGTTTTGACAAATTCATTCAAAGCATGATCTATGGAATGGGATTCAAAGAGGAAATTGAAAAATAAAGTTAATGAAAAACAAATTTAATCATCAATCCTAAAATTCCAACTTCAACTATCAAATTCTGTAAATTTAAGCCATAAGTCGTTTAGCAGCGAGAGAGAGCTTCAATTTCTCGTTTGATGTATTGCCCTAAGGACTAGAATCTATTTGGTCTAAAAAACCATTCTAAAGCGAATTTGGACTGCAGAATGAAAGAGAGGATCAATTGCTATAGGAATATGTTTTTGTAAACCAACTAATATTCCCTATCAAACTTACACATTACTTACTATGAAATAACATAGAAATCACAAAACCAAATTTACTGTTCCATCATTACCCAGCTTTGTGATGAAGCTTAAAGTGATTGTCACTTTTGGAATTGGTAACCTTTTTTAGAAAAGAGGTTTGAAAATCTTTGGAGATGAACAAAAATCATTTAGTATAAATGAGAAATGCATGACGAGAGTAAATAGAATATCAATAAGTAGTGTATGGTAAATGCATAAATAACTTCTATTTGATTTTGGTGAAAGATGAATATTTGAAATTATGGGTTTTAGTATTTAAAATATACCAATAATTTTTACACTTTTACAGTTAAAACTAATGATTCTTAAGGATTGTAAATTAAAGGATTAACCCTAATAGTTCAATAGATATATAGCAAAATAAACAAAAATTTAATGTGAAGAATTTCTATATTGAATAGTTACTGGAGTTGTTGTAAAAACAAAAATAATTAAGAGGTAGTTAATATTAGAATTATTTACAAGACAGGTAATGATGGAAACTCTTGCTTTTTCTATAGTTGAAAATAAGAGATGATTTAATGGCATGCATTTTTGATAATTCAGAATCAAAATTATGGATTTCCTATAATAAGAAATGAGGATATCACCAAATGAAAATTTGATTTATAAAAAAAAGGAGGAGGATATTGCTAAAAATTGTCCTATTGCCTCAGCTGATAATCAAAAATAAGTTTTCCTTCATTATTTTTAAAACAGGATGTTATTAATACATATTCTGTTGGATGTATTGATCTCTTATAACATCCTTTCAAGAAATTAACCAATTACATGTTTAATTCAAAACTAAGATGGTGTTACTACTACTATAAATGTTAATAAGATACTTAAAAAGATTTATTCAATACTAACAAGTTTGAAGGAGGCTGGCTGGAGTTTGCAAATTCCTAATTGTTCAGTAACATCCACATTTTACAAGAATTACTAAAAGGGTTTTTAAAAAGTCTTCTTGTATAGTTAGAGCTGACACTATAACATACATTACAAAGACTACCTTCAAATTCAAAAGATCTAAAGATATTGTCTTTAGTCTTGAATATCGACTGGAGGAAAAACCACAAGAATAGACTCATTAAATTTTGTCCTGCATTTAGAGTAGATCAAAGCATGACCAATCCAAAAAAATTATAGGAACCCAGAATAAATTATATGCTTTGAAAGTATTACAAGAAAATTAAATTCTTGAAAAGATCAAAGAAAAAAAATTTAATTATTTAAGTATTAATTAAACCTAGCAATAGTAAGAATTCCTTAAAATAAATTCTTGAAAAGATTTTATAATTTAATTTTAATATCGTTTAATGAATTTAAGAGAATTCTTATAAATTTCTAAATTTTACTATGTCAAATTAAAAAGCAAAATCCAAGTTGGATGATGATGAACTTATTGATATTAAACTGAAGACACTGATTCCAAAAGATAATAACAAGATAAATGAAATTTAGATAAAGCTTACATCTACTGATTGTTAAAACAATAAACAACTAGATAAAAATTTATTGTAAATCATTAACAATTTGTATATCTTAATAGATAAAATCAGAGGTTATACTTAAAATCACGAAACGTAATCTATTTTCGAATTTGGAGAATTACAAATTAAAATGAATTAAGTATGAAATTAGAATTTTTGTAAATGGACACAAGGTAATTTAAAAAAAGGAATATTATGGAATAAGGTGGTATTACTATAAAAAAAGGCCTTTGATATATATATTAGAAAATATCTACTATCTGAAAAACAATGTGCATTGAAGAAGCCATATATACCAAAATTTAAAAAACTAATTTTTAGATTTGAGAATAGTAATTAATGAATGATATACTACTAGAGGCGCTTGATTTTCAAGAGCAAAAGAAATGAAAACTTTCAAAACCCACATTCAAATCAGTATTTTTTTGATATGATGGGTATTGTTTCTTTAAAACTATAACCCTAGGTATTCATTTAATAAGGCATTTATATTGTAAAATATGATGTATAATGAAATTTTGAGTCAATTATGATATATATACTAAGAAGTGATGCGCATTTTTTCTTATTGATAAAAGCTTTTAATATATCTTTAAAGAAAAATAACTTAATAAAGGTTAACATGATTAATTATTTAAAAATATATCAATATTTTCTTGAGAAACTATCATTGTTTATCTTTTATCTTTTAAACTATATTAATAGTTTTGAATAAGAATTGGAAAATAATACCAGATTAATTTTTAATATAGAAAAGATACTATCATACTCAAGCTCAACTAATATTCATGTTTCTTGCTCCCACATATATTAGCAAAGTTTCATAACACTAATAGCATGAAGTTAATTAGTTTTAATTTTTACATATTATGAAAATTTTGATTTCAATTTCTTTATAACAAGTATAAACTTTTTACGAAGAGATGTGGAGATTAATATATATCAACCAAGATTTTGAAATTCAAATATTGAATTACTAACATGTACATTATTAAATAAAAGAATATTGATACATTCTCTGGGCTCTTTTGAATTTAATTTGAACAAATTCGGAGGGAAATGATATGGCATTTTCAAAATTGTTTAATAACTAAATTAAAGTTAACATAAATATTATGTTATTAAGCCTGATCGGAATCCTCATTTATTTTTATCCCTTATAACCATTAATAAATATTAAGAATAAAATTAAATAATCTAAATAACCAAAAAGTTTCAGAAGTAATATTTGAATTACACTCAAGCAGACTAGGGATGCTTTTGCTTATTATAATTTAGAAGTAATTTCGGGTATTCTAAAATGGACAAAGCATTAACCAGCTGGTTTGGAAAAAATCTTGGATTATTTCTTTATCATGTTAATAGGAAGATTTGAACTATAAAGTGAAGAAAAATCTACTAAATGGATTAAATATGAAATATTTTTAATTCAATTGGAACTTACTCTTTCAGGAATTGTTTAATTGCTTTCTAAATTATGACTCTTCATCCTTAGATGTAGAATAACATTTATCTTCAATATCTGAAAATTTTTATAGAGGCTTAGAAATGCTTATGCAATATACTTAAAATAGGCTTCATAAACTTTTCCCTATCCTTACATTTTGCTATCCCTATTAGCAGGACAAGATAAATAACTTATTTTAAAGTTAAAGTTCAAAATTTTTGAACTTTCCAATTATGAGCTCAGTTTCAAAGCACTATATATTTGGATAGATTGGAATAATAGGGAAGAAAACTTGAATGCTAATAAAAATAGCAAAAGTAATATTTTATTTTTCGACTAAGCCCTTTCGTATTTGATATATTTTTTGACATCATGATAATTGGTGTTTTCAATCACAAACTTAAGGAATATTAAAATAAGTGGAGTAAGAAAACCAGAATGAGAAGAAATTTTGATTATGTTAAAGTTCTCTCTTAGGTGGATGATCTTGCGATTATTGGCATCAGGATATCATTGGAATTTTTGCCTAAATATTTATTGAAAAATGCTCATCAGGAAGATGAAGGAAATAGCAAATAGACCAAATATATTATGGAAAACTTGGGGGGCGAATAAAGTAAAATCTTTCAATATTTTGGAATTAAAATAAAAATTAGAAAGCTGTTATTATGAGAGTAAGACAGTTAGCTATGATTAAGAAATAATTACATTTTATGAATCTTGTACTTGATCCCTGGAATAGTGTTATTTTTGATATTAATATTTTGATCATAGAAAGTCTTATCATTTAATTATTCAGCATATGAAAAGCAATAGTTATAATCATTGCTAATGGTTGGATATAAATGATGTGAATTTTTCAAGATTAAGTTTATGAACTTATTATTGAAATTAATAGTTTGAAGATATTGAAGTTTTGATCTAAATTGTTGTTGAGTACATAAATAAGGCTTGATTGTTGAGTCATCGTAATTCTATGTATCAAGCCCCAGGCAGCTATGAGTGTAATGGAAAAATAACAAAATATAACTCTGCTAATATATTTATGGAGCAGAAAATTTCTAAACTTTTATAATTTAATAGTTTTGATGTTTAATTAGTTAATCCAAAATAAAATGATTCAAGAAGAAAAAGCAAACAAATTAATGGATGCTTAATGAAATTATGAAATAATTTTAAAGTAATTTTTTTTATTGAATAAAAGTTTATATTATTTTTGCTAGTCTTACTTATTTATCATAACAAAGTTATTATTGAAAACCTTTATTTTTTATTCCTATTATTAACTTTGAGTAATTTTTTTAGAAGATAATTCCAAATTTGATAGTAGTTCTTAACATTTTGTATATTCTTCAAATGCATTAAATTATTCTAATTTAGGATGTAGTTTGGAAGTCCAACAGTGATTTATTTGTTAAATTTCATGAATTATTTATTACAATTTATCATCAGCTTTATTTTATTTTAACAGCATAATTTATAATTCCTCTTAAAATCTGTAAAGATGTTATTATGATCCTTTTTACTATAGATTATAAATCCATTCCTTCAATATTGTAATCGATTAGTCAAATTATTAGATCACAAGTGATTTCATATGATCTACTTGATCATGTAATTATTCAATTAATTTTATTTAGCTGGTTATTAAGTATTCTACTTTTTCCATCTTTTTTATCTAACCTTCTTCAATTAGTGAAATAATTTTCTTTAATCCAACTACTTTAGCATCTAAGTCTGTATTCTCTAAACATTCTGTACATAAGAGTCTTTAATTCATTGATAAATCTGGATCAAGTGCAATAGTAACGACAGGTAACTTATGACCTTAAGAACATGAAAATTCTTTTTCATTTTCTATCATTTTTGGTTTAAACATTTAATTAAATTAATATAATCTATTTACAATTAATCAATATTTATATTACAATATTAAAAAAAGGAAATATTTGTTTTGGATATCCTTCCTGTTAAAATTCTTCACTTAAACAATATCAAAGAAAAGCATACAAAGATTTTTCCGGAATTTGAAGAATATATTATTCAAGAACTGTGTAACCTTTTTGAAAGGAATACTTTGAAATGTATTTTCAAACATTAACCTAATAGGATGAGGAAAAATATTTGACCCTAAAATGGCTTCCTTTTGTCTTGTAGGAAATCATAGAATGTTAAGAATAGAAAATGCAAACTTTCCTCTTTAAGAATTATTAGGATTGTCATACTCAACTATATGAAATTTAAAATATTCATAAATATCAACTGATGAGATTATGCTCATTTAAGAAAAGACACAGTTTTTAATCAACTTAATGTGAACAATTAAATTAATGCATTATAAGCTTTTTATAGTGATCGTAGAAACCAAAGAAATTTTCATAAAAAAAGATTGAAAATATCATCATTCAAAGATTGAATTTGCAAGAAAATTTAATATAAAATCATTATTTCAAATCATTTGTTTAATAAATATTTGACTCAAAATTTTTTATAAACTTAATCGTATTTTGTGTGCTTGATGTTTTAGAAAAATATCATAAATAATATAAATATCCATAATAGTTCATTAATTTAATAATTCATATGTTGAATATTCTTACTTTTTTTTATCCCAATATACCAAATATTACCCATTATTTGTGATCGTTCCATAAATACCATATGTTTCACAATTGAGTTAATGATAAATTTTGTACTTGGCATCATTAATTTCTCTGATGATATAAATATATGTCTTATGCCTTACTAATATCAAATTCCTCTCTTTATTATAAACAATTGGAAAACCATATTCATCAACATTTTGTTTATTTGCAATTAATTAAATTGTCTTGTCCTTATTTTCTTAAAAGATTCCTTATTCTAATTCAAACACATAAAGTTTATCTATTTCTTAACCACTAGTTATCCAAATAAATTAATTATCTTTAATAAACTTAACCTTAAGTCCTTATTTTTAAATTGATTATTTAACAAAATACTTGAATTCAAACTGATTATTTTGTCTCCTTTCCCAAAGAATAATTTGATTCTAATTATCTGCACATGATACTAATTTATCTTCTGATTAATTTAAGCTTAATGACATAACCGTATTATTATGTTTATCTAATGAATATAGAAATATCAATTAATTTTGATTAAAGTCAACCTTCCAAACTTTGATTGATTTGTCATTACTTCCAGAAAATAGTAAATCCTCATTTTAATTTAATAGAATGCAAAAAACAAAAGATGTATGTTATTAATAAGGTTATGAACTAATCCAATCATTTTAGTTCAATTATTGCCAGCATCTTATTGTTTTGTCTCCAGAACATGAAATAAACGAATTCTATTTTTTACTATAAACTAAACATTAGACCCAATCGGTATGTCCTTACAATATTTTTACTAATTTGATTGTTCCATTTAGAAAACTCCATACTTTAATCTCAAACTTCTCGGTTGATACCATAATTGACCCAGAAGAATCAAAAACTATTACATTACATCTTTCCTCTTATTTGACAGATTAATCAATTAATTTTAATTTGATTTCTTATT